CCCTCTCTCCCTTCCTTCCTTTGTTCCTTTCTTTCTTTCTCTTTCTTTCTGTCCAACATACTTTGTGCCCACTTCCCAACCTCTGTGCTAGGATTTTCTCTGGCTTGAGCTTGCATGGCATTGTGAATACTGACGTAATCATCTTGAGTTCATTGATGCACCTATTCTATTGTGTTTGGAAAACACTCTGTCCTTAAAATCATCTACCACCTCTGGCTCTTACAGTCTTTTTACCCCTTCTTCAACACAGATCCCTGAGTGTTGAGGGCAAGAGTGTGATACAGACTTAGATTTATGGTTGAGAACTGTGAAGTATCTGGTTCACTATAAACTGACCAGTTATGGGTCTCTGAGTTAATGGCCATCTACCCTTGCTGCTTACAAGCTACCAGCTTTGTATCTGCTACTGACACTTTCCAAATTCATCCCCTGTGTCAATTCTTTCTCACAGCAAGCAGCTGCTTCTGTTGAGATGAATGTAGAACTGCAGACAGGAATCCAGAAAATTTTGTAAATTAACAAACTTAACACGACTCTAATTACTGAAAGGAAATGTGGCAAATCCTTAATGCCTTTGCTAAATACCTCTCATTGAGATGGAGCCAGGAAAGTGAGCCTCTGGACGTGCTTTTACTTGACAAGGGGGAAGCAGAGCCACAGTGAAGTTCCCTGTGAAAACACAGCTGTTGAGCCGCAAGTTCTTCATATTCTGAGCAAGATCTAATTTCTACCTGATATTTTTCTTATGAAATCCATTCTGAGGAAATTACTAGTCTCAGGAACCCACTCTGAGGAACTTTAGCCTTTGGAAGTCCTGGGGCAGGGGTAATTTAAGAGAGTTGAATCCTGCTGCAAATTGTAAAAGCTTTGTTTTGATGTTTGAAGCTTATATGGTGCCGAGTAATGTGCATGTGACTCCTGGTTGAGGGGACTCCAGTAGAGAAAGTTGTCTCTACAGTGGCAGGGTCTCATTGTCATTTCTCCTATTTCATTGATCACTAGGGGTGGCTTTGAAGTATTTTACTATATGCAGGTCATTGGAGTAGGATTACATATGAAACAAAAGATTAGTAAGATTATCTTGCTATGTCGAGGCACTATGACCACAGTAACCCTCCCTCCCTCCCTCCCTCCCTCCCTCCCTCCCTCCCTCCTTCCCTCCCTCTCTCTGTCTCTCTGTCTCTGTCTCTGTCTCTGTCTCTCTCTCTCTCTCTCTCTCTCTCTCCTTCTCTCTCTTTCTTTCTTTTTCTTTTGAGACAAGGTTTCTCTGTGTAGCCCTGGCTGTTCTGGAACTCACTCTGTAGATCAAGCTAGCCTCAAACTCACAGAGATCCATTTGTCTCTGCTTCCCAGGTGCTAGGATTAAAGAAATGCACCACCACCACCACCACCCAGCTTAGCAGCAGCTCTTATAAAAGAAAGCATTTAATTGAGGCTGGCTTACAATTTCAGAGAATTAGTCCATCATCATTATCACCATGATGAGGACATGGTGCTGGAAAAGTAGCAGGCAGCAGGACGAGACTCTGGGCCTGGCTTGAGCATCTGAAACCTCAAGCTTACCCCCAATGGCATACTTCCTCCAACAAGGTCACACCTGCCATTCCCTGGTGACCAAGCATTCCAATCTGTAAGACTGTGAGGGCCTTTCTTACTCAAATCCCCACAAAGATCTGAAGTCCACTCACAGTGGAGGTTGACATTTAGTCAAGGTCACAGAGCACACTCTGAGTGTTAGGATCCTAGTGTTTAGTGTCTAAACATTAAACACTAAACCTCTTGAGGAAAAAAAAAACCTACCAGGATCCCTCTTTTCCAGAATTCCCTGGGAGAAGCTCTGATGGCTCTGTTTCCACTGTATCACCCAGATGGATATTAATGGAGTCCTCAAGGACTTAAATTCACAGGCTGTGTTAAGTGGTAGTTAATCTCTCTGTGTTCACTCATGAAAGGTCTAAGTTTCCATTCTAACTGGCATGAGTTATTACAAATGAAAGGCACTAACCCATTATTATAGAATTATTGTGTTTTCCCCCCCTCTGCTGATTTTGAAGAATTTTCAGCTAAATAATGTCCAATAGGGACTAATTTTCCAACTTAATTTTGTAAGTCTGTATCTTACCTTGGATTTAAGTAGCATTTCTAAATTAAACTTAGTGAAGACTCTTTGGAGTTCTAACCATAACATTACTAGGGTTAAAAAATGCTGACTTATAGGGCTGTCTTACAGGTCCAGCGGTTTAGCCTATTATCATGGTGGGAAGCATGGCAGTATACAGGCAGACATGGTGCTGAAGAAGGAGTGGAGAGTTCTATATCTGGATCAACAAACAGCAAGAAGAGAGAAGCACCGGGCCTGGCTTGAACATTTGAAACCTCAAAGCCCACCCCTCAGTGACACACTTTCTCCAATAAGGCCGTACCTACTCCAACAAAGCCACACATCAAATAATGCCACTCCCTATGAGCCTATGAGGACCATTTTAATCCAAACCACCACATCTACCAAACTGAATATCTAACTCTAAGGACTTTTGAAACCATGACTTTTTACTGTCAGGTTTATGATAGGAGTCTACCTCCTAGGTGAAGATAACTGGTAACAAGCTGTTTCTGGCATGAAGCAGTCAAACTATATCTTATAGTCCCTGGACCTGCAAGGAGTAGGAGAGAGGACTGGTATTAGGAATGAGTGACCTTGTCCCTGAGAATACTAGGTGTATGTATGCTGAGGTTTCAGTTCCCACACAGATGTGATGACACTCACAGAGGTGTATAAATCACACTCCAAACAGCAAGCTCCTACAGGTGAGAATAGACTTCTGAGAGTTAAAATCTCCCAGTGCTCAGGAGGCTGAAGTAGGACATGTAAACACATGCACAATGATCCAGAAGTAAAATACTAAAAACATACTTTAAAAATAATTTAGGATGGGTGAGGTTGTGGTGTTACATGTCTTTAATCCTAGCACACAGGAGCAGAAGCAGTTGGACCTCTGTGAGTTTGAGGCCACCCTGGTCTACACATTGAGTCAAGGACATCCAGGGCTCTGTTACACAGAGAATCTCTGTCGAAGAAAACAAAACAGTTTTGTTTGTTTTTTTAACAAACAAATTTAATAATAATAATAACTTACCATTTTAATAATTATTATATAATTTATTATTATTATTATTTAGCATTTACTGGAGTTTTACTATGTGCAGACCATTGGACTGGTATATGGGATTTAAAAAAAAGAAAAACAAATAGGATCCGACACAGAGACCACATAGAGCACACACTCAGAGTGTTAGGATCCTAGAGTCATATTTTAAACTGTTCTTACATGGGAGTTTTTCCTCAAGGGATTTCAGGGCTAGCCTGGTATACAGAGTTGGACCTGTCCTAAGGAAAATGAAGCAGTTGTGTTACACTGGAGGAACATTTGGAAGAGGATCTCAGTGCAAACTGGAGCCACTAGACTCTGCTGCACGTGAACTTTTTCTGTCACTTGGGGCTGCAGTAAGGACTGAATTCATAATGCCATGACAATTTATGAGAACACCCAGTACGCAGTCTTTACTGAGTGGAATTGTGAAAACATTTGCACCAGCCTCTGGTTTAGTCCCTAATGGGGAAAGGTCCCCCCAAGAGTTAAGCCTAGATCCTTGAGGCCACGGGCTGTCTGTGGTTCCAGGATTTCTGTTCTTCATACTACATATTTTCCACATTTATAATACATGGCATTGAAGATCAGTATTTGTGGAAGTTATTTCAGTAAGCAGAGGGATTACTGCCTAAGAATGAGGCAGTGAGATCCACAGTCTCCCTGTGGCACCAACAGGAGCGGGGCTTTTCACCCAAGGACAAGACTCGAAGGCTTCAAGTCCTGGAGGAGACTGAGTGACAGGCCCAGAGCCACTTTGTAGTGAGAACATAACAACGCATTCACTTCCCTTTCCAGCCACTGGTCACAATGTTTTCTGGTTTCATAAATTTTATGTGATGCTTTCTTCTTTGGATATTAAACCTTAGTTGGGCATTTTGGCAGGGCTTATCCTAGACCAGCAGCCATTATTAAGAAACCAGATTGTGAAGCTCAGTAGTTAATAATATTAGTTGTTCTTCCAGAGGACCTGAGTTCCCAGCACCTATGTTGGATGGATCATAATACCTATAACTCCAGTTCCAGGGCATCCTGCACCCTCTTCTGGACCTGCACATAGGCTATACATACAGAGATACACATTTATAAACATAAAATATCTTTTAAAAAAGGATTTTGACCTGTGAGCTATTAGAAATGAACTATTAGGCCATCCTCACGTCACTATACCCACTTCCAAGCTGCCCGGGTGATGGCCCCAGAGTGTTGGCCTGAGGGTCAGTGCTTCTTGTTATCAGGCTTGCATACCTTGTATACCCTTCAGTAAAAGTCCCCAACAGTTCGTAGCAGGTGTGTTGGCTACTTTTCTTGCCACTAAGACCAAATGCTTGACAAGAAATTTAAGAGAGAAAATGTTTCTTTGGGTTTCCAGTTATAAAAGGTGGCATTGTGAACACAGTCAAGGAAAAAATGGACAGGAAGTAGATCCAGTCTGTAAAACCTTAAGGCCTGTTCCCAGTAATCTACGCCCACACTCCTCCCATCCTCCAGTTAGGCCTCAAGACCTAACTGTCCACAGCTTCCCATAACAGCACCTGCACATGCCACCAGCTGGGGAATAAATGTTGTTCAGGTGCACGAGCCTGCAGGGGCTTACCACATTCAAACCACAGCAGCCAGAGGGCAGGAGGCCAGCTACTAATCTCCAGCATCTCCTCACTGCCTTCCAGTGAGAATCCAGACATGAGGAGAGACTATTAGGCCTCAGCTTAACTGGCAGAACATGTAGACACTAACACAGTAAACTCCAGGGTGAACTACCTAGTCTTTGCTGAATGAAATGTTGAAGTCTAAGAAGACGGTTGCAGCAGGTGCTAATGAAAGGTGTCCTTCTCTCCCTGTCATCTGCAGGTCCCAGGAGAAAACAGAAGAAGCCATTGTGCTGCTGAAGGAATCCATTAAGTATGGTCCAGATTTTGCTGATGCCTATTCAAGCTTGGCTTCCCTGCTGGCTGAGAAGGTAATTGTTCCCATTTAATTTCACAAATGTTTCTTTAAATGTTTACTGTCCTGTGCATCTGCCAGGATCATCACAGATTTTTATAGAAATGACATAACTAATAATTGGCAGCTCCTGTCAAACTCTGGGTCTCATCTCAGTTTGTTCTTGATCAACACTAGAAGCCCAGTTTTCTCACTGTACAAGGAGATGGCCGTGAGAGGAAGATCACTATTGTCCTGTGATGTGTTTGCTGTCATTTGGAGACAAAATCTGTCAAGAATAATACATGACATTTCATGTTACTTTTTGCAAAATGTTTTTAATAAAAAAAGTTACAGAAAAATATACTAACTCCCAACCCTTTGTGAGCTCCGTTCTGCTCTGTTCTCCCAATGTTGCCTGCTTCTTAGATGTACTTTGGGTGGGTTGGGGGGACTCCCTTTTGTTCAGGGGCTTTCTAGCCAGAGCTTTGGCATTCCTTCCAGGATGTACTCCTGTGTGGTCCCGCATTCCATGGTTTTATTGCTATTTACTTGTGCTATGATGATTTTGTATCTTAAAACCTGCTAGGAAAGAGCAGATGGCAAGATGGGCTTCCAGGAGACCATCTCTGTCATGGGCAGTTGTGTTTTGAATCCCTGTCTCCTCTTCACTTGTCTGAATGACTTGAAACCAATTTTCAGGGTCTGTGGTATTTGTCTCCCCCTTGCTATGGGGAATGCACATGAGTTATCTTCTATAAACTGATGCTCTCTGCTTTTGTTGACACATGAAAGTGACCCTGATAGCAGTAGATTCTGCTGTCAATCAATTGCCAGTCCTCTTTTAAAAGTCAAACTGAGATGCCTCGGAGCAGCCACTTAGCTAAACATAAGGAATGCTTTGACCCCACATATTGGTTACTGAGGCTACAATTTGCATTTTAAACATTTCAAAAGTTCCAACCAATAGCAAAATTAGAATAGTCTATGAATATTCAACTGAAATTATAAACTGTGTTTTAATACAGCCATTTCTAGACTGTTTCTCAGACATAAAAATTTGTGGATTTGTGAGTCCCAGATATAAAGTGACATCATAGATAAATAACTCCTATGCACATTTTTAAATTACTTAAACTTAGTGCAGTGTACACTAGCTATAGAAATAGCTGCTGTTACTGTATTGATTAGGGACTAAAGACAAGAAAAGTACAGGCACAGTATTTTCTGAGTGTTATTTGTGTGTGTGTGTGTGTGTGTGTGTGTGTGTGTACCAGAAAAGGATATCCAATGCCTTTCTCTTTGTCTTCTGCCTTACTCCTTTGAGATAGGGTCTCTCACTTAACCAAAGTTTACTGTTTTGGCTACACTAACTAGCCAGTGAGTTTCTGGGGTCTACTTGTCTTTACCCAAATCACTGAGGTTATACATATACATAGCCATATGTGAACTAGGGACTCAGACACAGTCTCTAATCTCATATAGGACTTATATATAAGCTTTGTAAGACTTAACCCCTGAACCATCTTCTCAGTCCCTTTCTTGACTCTTTTTGATCTGAGGTTTGTTGTATCTGCAGATAGAGAGGCACTGTGTTCTCTGAACAATGTAGACAGGCTGTAGACAGAAAGCCTATCTGGTATAGATGATTTTCTTGCACTTTGACATACAGTGTTTAAATTAAAGTGATCCTCTATGATGTATGCTTGCAGTCCTTGACAACTTTTGGCTTACATTCATGAGGACACTGGAGGGTTTTCCAGGGAAAGGATTGCCTGCATCCCTCAGAATCACGTTTTCTCGCTTCAGAGAGACACACCCTGCCTCTGCCTAGGACCTAGGCGTGTCAGGCACCTCACTGTGCAGGCATTTTCCTCAACCACCACACATCCCTATGCAGATCCGTCTTCACTCCTGCCGTGCAGTCTCTGCCCCCGCAGCACCTTGTTGACCCTTTGTCTACTTTCTGTCATGTCTCCCATCACCTTGTCCTCCTGCATTTCCATTTCCCATGGCTTTATATTCTCTAACATAGCTCTGTGGGTTAGTGTTCTTTCATCCATCTCCAGAATGTTGACTCTGTAAGAACATTTATTGTACTGTTCTCACACCTGCCAGGCTGCATGCAGTCGGTAGATTCCAGATGTGTAAGTAAATAAACTTGAAGAGTGTGCAGTCCCCACTCGAGCTCTCATTGAGTTGTGCCCTCTTGTGAGGACCTGCCCTGCCCTGGGGTCTAGTGTGAGAAGCAGCCATGAGATACCGGCCATGGTGACCTCTGCTGTCAGCTGTGAGTTCATAGCCATCATCCCTTACTCCATTCGTTGAGTCTTTACGATGAGGCAGATCTTGAGACGTGAGGTTGGGAGATCTATGCTTCAGTCTTGGAAAGACTGCATATGTTTCTCCTAAGTTACATTTAGTTTTTTATTTTCTTCTTAATCTGGTGCCTGAAGATCTTGTATTTTCTAGGAAGGTCAATTCTGTCTCCCCTTCTCATCTCACCTCAACTGGTGGCCATCTGGATGGCACTGGCTGCTTCTCTCCTGTGCTGTTCTTACTTCTACATTTGCCTTTTTCTTAATTCCTATTCAGCTCATGCTCCTGCCTTGATTTCATTATCAACAATGAGGTGTGTTTGAAAATTGTACTAATCGTTTCCAGCTCAGATCTTTTCTTCCAGCTCCCTAGGCAGGCAGTAAACTGAATTGCTCTTAAAGAAAGACACCACAACTTCAAGCAAAGTCTCAGTTACATCTACAAGTGATACCCAAGTCTGTTGTCTTGGGGGCTCTTGATGGACTGATACCTCTTTACACAGTTTACCTTTTTCAAGATCATCTTTTCTTTCTTTCTAAATACCTTCTTGCTTCTAAAACAATTCAGTTCGCAGTTCCTGCCCAAACCTTGTCCACTTTTCCATTTTGTGGTGAGTTATATTTCCAGCAATCTCTGTGTTCATCACTTTTCCTGTTGCTATGAACATGAACCCCACAAATGCAACCCCTCAGGGATGAGGGGGTTTATTCTGCTTAGTTTGTTAGTACAGTCTGTCGTGGAGGCAAAGTCATGATGGCAGGTGGTTCTGTGGTGGGAATATTTGACCACTGTCTATTCACATCTCAATGGTCCAGAAAGCAGACAGGAAGGAGGCCCAGCTATAAATCTCAAGGATTGCTTCCAGTGACCCACTTCCCCTACATAGAACCCACCTCCTAGAGATTCCGCTTGCAAACCAGCAACACAGCTGGGAACCAAATGGCCTGAAAGAGATATTTCACCCTCGCGACATGACATCAGCATACAGATTGTATCATGTCTATATGTATCATGTATTTTTATTTCTTGGATTACTATCTTGAGGTGAAATTTAAACCATGTGGGGCAGGAAGATGGCTGAGTAGGGAAACTACTTGCTGAGAAAGCTTGAAGGCTGGAAATCAGATCCTCAGACTCTACATGAAAAGTGAAGCAGGCATGGTTCCTACTTGTAATCCCAGCACTTGAGAAGCAGAGACAGGGGAGTGTTAGGCTGAGTTCAATTGAGAAAACCTTCCTCAATACATAAAGTGGGCACTATCAAGGAAGACAGTCACTATCAACCTCAAGCCTCCACATCCGTGCACTCAACAAAGGTGTACACACACACACACACACACACGTATACTACAAATGCACGTACTTACACATGCATTCCTACAAGTGTGAACACACATGCAGTTGTGTGTACTCACATAAACACACATGTATACCACATCACATTAAAAAATTAAAACAAAACATTGATTTTTAGTGTTTCAGACTTATCTTCCCCTAACCACAACTTTCTTTAGGAAAAGCATGGTCTTGGATGTATCTCCACTGCTGTCTGGCTTCACCCTCATTAGTGTCATTGTTTATATACAGATAAACCATTTGTGTGTTAATTCTGTGAAAAGTAATGGACCTTAGTGGATATCCCAAAGTTTCTTCTGTTTTCCTTTTCTAAATTGATGAACTCTTGAGTTCAGTTAAAGATACTACTCTAAAGTGATCCCAATGTTTAGTGACCTTGACATTCGTATTAGGACCCAGGACCATCATCAGATCACTAATACAGTAGGCAGACCTTAACCAAGTGGCCATTTGTTGTTTGTTTGTTCAATGAAATAAAGGCATTTTCAGGCAAATTTTTCTAAAGACTAACATATATATACTTTTTCCTTAGCTGAATATCAAGAGTTTCAATAGAATATTTGAAATGATTTCCTGATTAAGTTATTTTCTGTGGAAACATGGCAAGCAGATGTAAAAACACTATTGAATTTCTCACAGTTGGAGCTCAACAGTTGTGAAGAGAAACAATTTATGCAGAAGACCTTCATCTTTTCTGACAGACAAAATGCACTTCCTTTGGCCCCTCTTCTACTCTAGAGCAAAGGGTACTGTGCAATGCTTTAGGACCCTAGAATCTCTCACTGAAAAGTCTGAAGGGTTCTTCTACCCTGAAAGCAATTGGTTTTCACACAAGAGATAGGACAGCTGTTGGGCAGAACTCAAGGCCTCTCCCTTCTCCGAGTCTACACATCTTATCTTAACCTCTGAAATACTTTTGAGATAAAACAAGGTTTCTGATACACAATGTGGCAAACAGGAGTTGAGGAAAATCCACAGACTTGACAGTGTTTGAAGCAACCCCTTCCACTGTCACCTCTAACAGGATTTTAGACTTTCAAACCCCAAAAAATATGGAAGTGATATTCTTAAACCTTGGTCAGCCTGCACACACATGTGACACTTTCCCCTCTCCCTGAGTGGAGCTACTATCTGCCCCACCCACAGCCTACACCCATGCTGACTGTGGTTGAAGACCAGTGTCATAAGAAATGATTGAATAAAATCTCCCATGTGCAGGCAAGTTTCCAGAAGCTGTGTGAAAGGATGTACAGTTAGTTGTATTTATTTTCAAGTTTGCAGAGAGCATGGCATATGGGCTGTGAGGCACTTGGCAATTAGGATGTCTTTTGAATATGCTTGATTTAATATGCTTGGTTTATT